CAGTCCCCAGGATGTTGCTGTTACTCATAGCAGATTAAAGTGAAGACATGTGAAATGCTTCAGTGCCATCATTGGCTTTACTATAAATGGCAGCTGAATAGCTGATTTCATGTTTTCACATCCTACGATAATTTTTTACTTTCCTCTCTCAGCCTAAACTGTTCAAAATTTATTCTTGTAACACTTGTTCAGCAACTTTGGAATGGGTCCAGGTTCTATATTTTCTTGGGGAATTAGAATATATTCACAAAATCCAATCCATTACTAGAGGTATGAACATGAGACGATCGTTTCTTTGCAGGCTACATATATTGATGGTGCAGCGGGTTAAACCGCTAAGCTGCAAAACTTGCTGATCAGAAGGTCAGCAGTTCAAATCCACAGACAGGGTGAGATCCTGTTGTTTCTGCCAACCTACCAGTTCAAAAACAAGCAAATATGAGTAGATCAGTAGGTACTGTAGGAACCCCAGGTCTCGGCGGTGGCCGGGAGAGCTTTTGCGCAATTAAAACTTGTGCGCCAGCTGCGCCCGTACCTTGGGAAGTCGGATCTGGCCACGGTGGTCCACACTCTTGTTACATCCTGATTAGATTACTGCAACGCACTCTACGTGGGGTTGCCTTTGAAGACTGCTCGGAAACTTCAACTAGTCCAACGGGTGCGGCAGCCAGATTGCTCACCGGAGCGACATACAGGGAGCATACCACCCCCCTGTTGTGCAGCTCCACTGGCTGCCGGTTCAGTTCCGAGCACAATTCAAGGTGCTGGTTTTGACCTACAAAACCCTGTACGGTTCCGGTCCAGTGTATCTGTCTGAACGTATCTCCCTCTACGTCCCACCCCGGAGTCTGAGATCATCTGGGGAGGCCCTGCTCTCGACCCCACCACTGTCACAAGTGAGGCTGGTGGGGACGAGGAGCAGGGCTTTCTCAGTGGTGGCCCCTCACCTGTGGAACTCACTCCCGGGGGAAATCAGGGCATCATCATCCCTCCTCTCCTTCAGGAGGAGGGTGAAGACGTGGTTATGGGACCAGGCCTTTGGGCAATCTGACAATTAAATAAGACAATCAGGCGAATAAGACCAACAGGATTGATGTAGTGGAAGGGAAAACTAGAACTATGAGTTAGCGATCACTGACCATGTAAGAGAGGAATTGGGTTTGTATTGGTTTTATTGATTTTATTGATATACGGCATGAACTAGTGTGATGTAATTATGTAATTTTTGTGTCTTGATTGTTCTGTACTGCAGGCATCGAATTGTGCCTTGCTTCTGTAAGCCGCCCTGAGTCCCCTTCGGGATGAGAAGGGCGGGGTAAAAGAACCCCAAATAAATAAATAAATACTGCTTCTGCAGGAAGGTAACGGTACTCCATGCAGTCATGCTGGCCACATAACCGTGGAGGTGTCTATGGACAGCACTGGCTCTATGGTTTAGAAATGGAGATGAGCACCACCCCCCAGAGTCGGACATGACTAGCCTTAATATCAAGGGGAAACCTTTGCCTTTACTTTTTATGTCCTCACAACTGAGCATGCAGTTAAACATTTCTCCCCAATAAAAATTCTGGACTCAAACATAAAAAGATGGAAGGGAAAAGGAGATACAACAGAGTAAGGACCAATTGTTTTTTTATTTTAGTACAAACTTTTGTGGATATAAACCTACTTCTCCAGATGCAGAGCAAAGTGATATTAAAGCCTCAGGTATAAAACACATGTATACAGTTGTAGTGATATTACAGGTGGATTAAACAATTGTTGGGCTTCTGGATATGATGCCCTAAGGAGAGCCACAGGTGACTTAGTGGGCTAAACCCTTGTGCTGCTGAACTGCTGACCTGAAGGTCGGCAGTTCGAATCCATGAGACAGGGTGAGCTCTTGCTGTTAACGCTAGCTCCTGCCAACCTAGCAATTCGAAAACATGCAAATGTTAGATCAATAGGTTCAGCAGGAAAAGGCAAAATCACACTCCATGCACTCACGCCGGCCACTTGACCAGGAGGCTCCTTAGCTTGGAAATGGAAAACAGCACCTCCCCCAGAGCACCACATCCAGAAGCTGGAAATGAAAGGAGACGCCTCTGCATTGTCTGTGTATTTGTGTCTCACTGTATTGTCATTATAACAAGGCATTTAGTGTTTGCGTCTGTTTATGTATGCTACAATCCGCTCTGAGTCCCCTCGGAGAGAAGTGTGGAATATAAATACAGTATTATTATTATTACTTTGTGGAAGAGTTTTTTGCTTTCAATAGACATTGTGACAAACAGGGCAGTAGCATACATGGACCTTTAGTCAGATACAAAATGGCACTGATGGGAACTTTATGGATTTCGGCAGGGATCTACCATGATCTGGAAAGGTTGACCATGACCATAGCCTGTACCATACTTGTCTTTGCTCATGCAGTCAATATTAATGAAACCACCAAATTTCAGAGGAGGAAGAAGACAGGATTTGAAAAAGTAGGCTATTGTTTTTGGTTTCATCCTTAGAGTCCTCATGGACAACAAGTTAAACATGACCCAACAATGTCATGTGGTGGAAAAAAAGCCAATTGGATTTCGGCCTACATAAATAGGAGCCTAGTGTCTAGATTCAGGGAAGTCATGCTACCCCTCTATTCTGCCTTGGCCAGATCACACCTGGAATACTGCATCAATTCTGGGCACTGCATTTGACGGGAGATGTTGACAAGTTGAAATTTCTCTAGAGGAGGGTGACTAAAATGATCAAGGGTCTGGAGAACAAGCCCTATGAGGAGCTGCTTAAAGAGCTGGGTATGTTTAGCCTGCAGAAGAGAAGGCTGAGAGGAGATATGATAGCCATGTATAAATATGTGAGGGGAAGTCATAGGGAGGAGGGAGCAGGCTTGTTTTCTGCTGCCCTGGAGACTAGGATGTGGAACAATTACTTCAAACTACAGGAAAGAAGATTCCACCTGAACATTAGGAAGAACTTCCTGAGAGCTGTTCAGCAGTGGAACTCTCTGACCCTGAGTGTGGTGGAAGCTCCTTTTATGGAGGCTTTTAAACAGAGGCTGGATGGCCATCTCTGCAGGGTGCTTTGAATGCAATTTTCCTGCTTCTTAGCAGGGGGTTGGATGGGATGGCCCATGGGGCCTCATCCAACTCTATGATTTTAACCATACTAGGACAAGAGTTTCATACACAACTTTTACACAAAATGCTCTGTACACCACTCTAGTTTATTTCCTTTTATTGACGTCATAATATATCAAAACACACCCACAGTACATCCAAACCTATATATACATATTGTAATTGTACCTCACCTTATTTCCTCACTCTTTTGTGCTGGATGCTACCCAACCCGCTTTGACGTTTTTAATACTGTGAAGCGGTTCACTTTACACCTTTAACAGTTAAAACTTAAATAGCAACTATTTGAAAACATATATTGCTATAATACAGAACAGCAAAGATTTGCTCTCCTTGAAATAAGATTTCTAACTCAGAATTAAGATGCATTTTTGAACATAGAGGCTTTGACATTGATTATACAATATTTTACATATATTTAATTTATGGACAGTGAAAAAAAATGCAGGATGCAATAAGTGGCATATTCTGTATACTAACACTAGAAAGAACTGATAATTACATATGTAGAACTATCCCATGTAGGTCTACTCAGAAATAAGTCCTACTAATTTCAGTGGGACTTACTGCCAAGTAGGCATGCATAAGATTGCACCTTAAGTTAATTGCTGAACCTCTAAATATCTCATCAACATCTTTTATTGCTGTCTTGACCAAACTACTCAGGGTGATCTGAGATGGAGAATGAATTCAGGAAGGAATGCATCCAAAGAAAGAATAGACTGAATTGATGTATATTCTGATTATGGCAAGGATGAAACATTTATAGATAGGATAAAAGACTACAATTACGGCAACTGGTTATGAAACTGACTAAAGGGGAAGCCAACCATAAGTGATTTCTAAGACATAATGTGAAGTAGTTTGAAATCAGAGTTTCAGTGCTATCAAATGTAAATTATGTGTAGGCGGGGAAAAAAGAAGAATGCAGGATTTGATGTTTTAATAAAAATGAAAGAAAAAGTCAGGAGGGTTCAATATCTCCAGGACTTTTGGAACATAGTTTGAAACCATAGTGGAATCTCAACAGGAAGTTCCTCTTCAAAGACTTTGATGCCGCTAGGAGTCATGACATAAGAAAAGAGGGCTTGTTATGAACTGGTTACTGGACACTGAACAGGACATAGAGAACAGACAATGGGGGCATATAAATAGACTGCCTATAACCTGTATTGCGGCTATTGCTTTTCAACTTGTTCATGGGGTTAACAGTGACAATGAGGCGGCCAGGTTTTCAAACACACCAAATTATTTTGGATTTTTTTTCATGTCAGGAGCAACTTGAGAAACCACAGCTCGCTCCTGGTGTGAGAGAATTGGCCATCTGCAAGGACGCCCAGATGCCTGATGCTTCTTACTCCGACAAGCAAATACCAAAGGCCTTCCTCTGATACCACAGCCGAGAGTATGCGCATGCGTGGCTAATATGATTTGTTTGTCTGGTTGTCCGTTTGTTTAAATATATATATATATATATATATTTTATGGGAGGCTTCTCTCATGTTCCCACATGGGGAGCTGGAGCTTACAGAGGGAGCTCAACCCACACTTCCTGGAATCGACCCGCTGACCTATCGATCAGCAGTCCAGCCAGCACAAGAGTTTAATCCATTGTGCCACTGGGGGCTCCTATTATTTTGGATGGAGAGCACAAATAGAAATGTTTCTTGGATTTAGGAAAATGGATATTAAAAATGGAAAATGTGATTCAAAAAAGCAAGTGTAAAATGATGGGAAAAAAGCTTCCCACTTAACTTGCTCTCTCTTTTGTGTGTGTGTGTTTGTGCAAACACTAATGGGCTCTGGGTAGTGGTGAGTGACCAGTAAAGGGAGTTTGTGTTGTATAACTTGACAACCCAGTAAATGGATATTGTGGGGAAAAGGCAAATTCCATGCAGAGAATTAAGAAAAGGGAAGACAGACCAATTAAACATAACAATCAGCATTTATACATATCAACGATGCAATCTACTGTGAGTAGAGCTGTGCACAATTCTACTCACAGCACCTCAAAAGTGATGTCTTAGAATTGGAGAATGTACAGAAAAGGACGAACAAAATAATCAAACAGCTGGAGCAAATATCCTATGAGGAAGGGTTACAATGCTTGGAACTATTTAGCTTAGTAAACAGCAAGTGGAGATGTTATAGAATTATTCAACTGTATAGGAAGAAAGTGAATTGGGAGAAGTATTTTCTCCCTTCCTCCCCACTGACACAGCAGGACCCCTCTATCCACAAGACTGGTTTCTGTGCTTTCATTTATCCCTGTCTGACAAAATTTGTTTTCTCTAGATATTTTAAAGATCTCCTCTATAATATTCTTAGGCTAGAGGTTCCTCAGTCCAATAGGAGTTGCTACTATCTGCAGTTCTGCATACCTATGCAAAGTCTGAGAATGTGTCACCTGTGGATATGGGGATCATACTGTACTTGAAACATATTGTTTTCCAACAAAGCTAAATGGTGGGAGATTTGTGATGCATAATGCAGCCAACATGACATTAGGTACTACAAGAAGTGAGGATGTTTGTTAACTTGGATTGGAAGGTTTGCTGTGTGTGTGTGACTGTATACCAGTGGTTCTCAATCTGTGGGTCCCCTGCTGTTTTGGCCTACAACTTCCAGAAATCCAAGCCAGTTTACCAGCTGCTAGGATTTCTGGGAGTTGAAGGCCAAAACATCTGGGGACCCACAGGTTGAGACCCACTCCTGTATACCAATTCTTTTAGGGCAGTGGTTCCTAACCTTCGGTCCTCAGGTGTTTTGGACTTCAGCTCTCACAATCCCTAACAGCTGATAAGATAGCTGGGATTTTTGGGAGTTGAAGTCCAAAATTCCTGGAGGACCAAAGGTGGGGAACCATTGTAAATTTAGGGTAATGGTCTGTAATCATGCTGAGGCAATTAAATTATCTCCAGTATTCAAGGCAGTGTGCCCCTTAACAGTAGTTGTGGTGGCACAGAACTAGCTGGATACTGTTGTATTTGCATCTTGCTTCTAGTTCTAGGTGTCTCATTGACATTTTCCCATTGATAATTAAAATTTTGGGAAGATGGGCATTTCAACTGAATTTTATCGCAATTATACAGAAATGATGTAACAAGGCAGGGATAGAGAGTGTTTCCAATTTTTTTAGAAGCACTCTAAATTTTGTAACAAAAACCTGGAACAATATGACATTCCAATCCATAGATGCTTCCACTGTAAATCTGGGTGTGTGGGAAGGAGATACTGCAATGAAATGTTTGACTTGGACCCAGAGAGAGTTTCTAGAGAGAAATATCTCTCCCTGGCTGAAGTTGCAGATTGCCAGTACTTAACAGTTCTGACATGAATGTTATCCTTTTAGCTGATTTTCATATTTGAAAGTATGCCCCCTGAGAGCTGTGCAGGAGGAAGTTCTCCTTTGCAGTTTGTGAAAAGCATACAGCACTAGTTCTCAACCTGTGGCCCCCCAGGTGTTTTGGCCTACAACTCCCAAAAATCCCAGCTAGTTTACCAGCTGTTAGGATTTCTGGGAGTTGAAGGCCAAAACATCTGGGGAACCACAGGTTGAGAACCACTGGTATACAGTCAAAGATAAAATTAGCTAAGCCATTTTGGCTTTCACAATGCATACGCATACACTATGGTATTGGAACTGGGTGTCTAGATCTGAATTTCATGTTCACAGTGCTCCCATGTAATGTAAATGCTGTATATTTTAAATGCACATTGTACTACCCTGTGAGAAGTAGCCACCTAATGAAGGGTGTATAGAGATCTAGTGTTGGAAGAAACAGAATTGATCTTAATCATATGTTGCAAAATGTAAAATATTACAGTGGGTTACTTTAATTTGTGTGATTTTTGTTTAAATTGATAAATATTATTATACCAATAACAGACTACAAGTGAATTTTTAAACATACATAAACTTTTTAAACGAAACACTGCATCACTCATTGGATCCATTATTGCCTCCTCATTAACATCAGACTAGGTCATCTCCCATCAACTCAATGACTGCCTATCATCTCATTCCTCAGTCATAAATACAGGATCCATGATATCACCCAAGACTCCACTTACACCTAAACCAGTGATTTCCATATTTGGGTCCCAGATGTCCGGTGACAAATTCTGGTATCCATAGTCAAATGGTTAGGGATTGTGCGAATCTGCAATCCAACAACCACTAGGAACTCAAGTCTGGGAATCATTGACCCAGGCAGGCCGAACATTCCTTTCACAAGACATTCAGCATGCATCTTAATAGAACATTTAAACAAAGTGAGCTACCATCCCATTCCACATTGCTAGCTTGTAAAATGAGCCATGTGGGAGTGCAAGAGCAAGCCTAGCTGCTTCCTTCAAAATCTTCAGAAGACTTGGTTACAAAAGAGACACGAGACTTAAAATGGATGACAGAAAACAGCTTGTGGCTCATCCTTCCTAGTCTGCATGAGTTCCTCTCCCAAACTTCAGTTTCGTTGTCTATTTATGGGGCTGGCTCCAGAATAGTTAACTGGGAGATGCTGACATATACTAGCAATAATTTGTGGTTGTGATGACAATACGTTATGAAATCATTAATAAGATTTCATCATAATGACTAACATTTTATCTGACTCGAAGTACAGGGTGTGACAATATCGTCTGCATGCCAACTGCTGAAATACAGGTGTTGGAAAGCAGACAATTTGGCTCTGTGTGGACAAAATACTGAAGGGTCCAATCCCTTCACTTGAAGCTGTTTCTAAATACTGGGCATAATGAAAAGGTATAAACCAGGCATGCACAAACTTCGGCCCTCCAGGTGTTTTGGACTTCAACTCCCACAATTCCTAACAGCCTACTGGCTGTTAGGAATTGTGGGAGTTGAAGTCCAAAACACCTGGAAGGCCGAAATTTGCCCACACTTGGTATAAACTCTGTCTCTATCTGGGAAAAGAGGTTCCCTATCAAACTGGCCTGGTAACTTTGGGATAGAAAGAAAGAGCTGGGTTGTTGTGTGTTTTCTGGGTTGTATGGCCATGTCCCAGAAGCATTCTCTCCTGATGTTTCACCTGCATCTATGGCAGGCATCACAACCTCTGAGGATGGCTGCCATAGATGCAGGTTAAACGTCAGGAGAGAATACTTCTGAAACATGGCCACACGTTCCAGAAAACACACAACAACCGAGTGATTCTGGCCATGAAAGCCTTCGACAATACAAAGAAAGAGCTGTTAGCTAACTGGATTTCTCCCACCTATTGTCACATTGCATTTTTAAGATGAAGCACTACATGCCCTGGGTTCAAACAGAGCATTTGTAGTGTTTCATATCTTGCATTCTGCAGTCTCCAGATGGCTAGACCCTCTTCCCCCATTATTTGGTAATATTTCAGCTTTTACATCCCTCCCCACCCACCCCACCCCCAATTTTAAAATGTTCCTTTATTGGCAGTGAAAGCTATAAGTTATACTATGCTGGTATTTTTGGTCCCATCCCTTTGTCTTTGGCTCTACATGCCACTTAGAGGCGCAGCACCAAAAAACTTCTCTGAAATTGGATTTGACTTTCAGGCTAAAAGGATTCTCTCCTCTTGTGAGGAACTAACCTGTCTTGATCCTGCTTCTCCAATTTCCAAATTACTCTATGCCAAATATATTAAAAGAAACATTAAAAGTAGCATGTGACATATCCGTTGTACTTTTAAATACTGGCTTTTAGGTGTTAAGAAATTAAAGTGCTGTCACGGTTTCAATTTTTTAAAAAATCATTTTTGTTAGTACAAAAGTTGGAACACATTTTATCTTCAAAAGGGCAAGAAAACGTAATTTAGTCTGTGCTAGCTGGTGTCCCCAAGAAATTTGTGCTTCCATCTTCTGCATCCTCCTTTTGACGCCAGGGTTTTGTATGTGTTCCTTGGAGATAAGCCTCAAGAAAGTAACAGATCCCAGGAATTTCACTTGGAAAGTTGGGGGGAAGATCCTGTCTTGAACGTGGAGTGAATACAAAGCCTGGGTAATCCTTTAGTAACCTGCAACAAAAATCAAAATGATGTTACAAAATATAAAATAAATCAAAACTATATATCATGGACACACAATAAACATAATGGTTAACTAAAATTAACAACAAAATATATTAGTTCCTATGTGCAGAAGTGAGTAACTCTTTTATGTTGAAATAACCAGTACACTGGAAAGATCTGAAAAGAAAACTCAAACATAAATAAAATTTCAGATTTTCTCATAAATCTGCAAAATTTTTGTATAGAGGCTCCTCCTAATACCTACACACACCTGACTCTGTTAACTAAAAGAATTAAGAGCTAGGAATGTTTAGCCTGCAGAAGAGAAGGCTGAGAGGAGACATGATGGCCATGTATAAATATGTGAGGGGAAGTCATGGGGAGGAGAGAGCAGGCTTGTTTTCTGCTGCCCTGGAGACTAGGAAGCAGAACAATTTGTTTATTTATTTATTTACTCTATTTATACCCCACTTTTCTCTACCCTGGGGGGACTCAAAGTGGCTTACATACGGCAATTATTAAATGCCTTAAACACACACAAATATGTTTTCTGCTGCCCTGGAGACTAGGAAGCGGAACAATTGGCTTATTTATTTATTTACTCTATTTATACCTCACTTTTCTCTACCCTGAGGTGGGGGGGGGGGACTCAAAGTGGCTTACATACGGCAATTATTAAATGCCTTAAACACATACAAACATTAAGCTTAAAATCAATTGGATTAAAATTAATACATATTAAACATTTAAAAATTACATTCAATATCAAAATCACGCCATCTATCATATACAGACCATAGATTGTTCTGCTATTTTACAAATAAGCTAAATTTTTAAACAGTGCTTGTTTTGTTTTCTTTGCTACATATTTCTTATCTGTGTTTGACTGTAACCACTATTCTCTTCAGAAAGCTTACTACAGAATCAGACCAGATGCCAGCTGAGTATAACAAATCATAGTATAACAAATCTGAAGGATGCCAGCTGAGAGGATGGTTAACACCGACTTCTCTTTCCACCCCAAAGTCCTCAATTCAAATGAAAATAAGATATACTAAAATAATTGCTCACAATAAAACTCGCGTGAAATACAACAGAAATGTTTTAGGGGTGTCACCTTAAAAACATATGAAAAAACAAATGATGATCTAACATTGTGCTAAAATAGCCAAATAAAAAATGACGTAATTATTACCACAATACAATGAATAGGGCAATACACTTCACAAGTTATAAGTTTATGTACAGTATTATTTTTTTTTGCTTGCATTACGTATGTGCATCTCAATACAGGTGCCATGTGTTTCATTTGATAACTGTCAGATGGAATTCAGAACCAAGAGCAATTAACTGCAAATGCATAGCTCCCTTTCATGTAACTCACACCTAGGAACTATCAAATACATGACATCTGTTTTGAAATGCTGCCACTTAAAGTGAACCAAAGGATTCATTCATATTTATGGTACCAATTCTATAACAGTTGCACAAGGAAAATCTTTTACTGGAACTTTAGTTGGAAGTTGATGAAAAAAAAAAAGAGGAGGCTCAGATGATGTTTTTCTTTTAAGTACTAGGGGCTTTATTGGACTTCTAGTGTTAAGATTTGGGTCCAGGTTATTTAACTAATTGCATCTCCCCATACAGACCATCCCGGGCACTGCGATCAACGGAGGAGGCCCTCCTCTCGGTCCCACCCCCACCATAAGTTTGGTTGGTGGGAACGAGAGAGGGGGCCTTCTCTGTGATCACTCCCTGTCTCTGGAACTCCCTTCCAAAATAAGTAAAATTTGCCCCTACCCTCGTCTCCTTTAAGACATGTCTAAAAAATGCACTTATACACTTTAGCACACGGAGAGGAGGAGGACTAAAACACATTATCCATTTGGAATGCTGGCCAACTCCACTTGCACTATATGGCTGCCACGATACAGCCTTAAAAGAAACACTGGTGCCAGCCATTTTTAATGTAATTGCATTTTAAACTGTTTTGAGGGTATCTGTTGTAATGTTTATTTATGTTTTAGATAATGATGTCTTATTGACTATTCTGTTATATTTTTTTATTTCAATGCTTAATCCTTTGTGGTAAACTCACTGTTATTGTTGTGCTCTATTGTGCATTTTTATATGTTTTGGATATGTTTTGTACTCACTTAGGCATTGAATGGCTGCCTTCTTAGGTGCATACCACCTTGAGTCCCCTCAGGGAGAGAGGGCAGTATAAAAATAAAGTTTTATTATTATTATTTATTATTATAAGATCCCACGTATATTTTCCAGTGCTTGGGGAAAATAATTTACAATCATTTGAGCCCTGTTCAGGTATTTAATAAAAAACAAGGGGACAATTGCTCTATTATAATTTTCCTCATATGGAAAGTAGTTGAAGTCAACAAGAGTTCTTCTTTGCATAGAAACTCTCCACATAAGCAAAAATGTGCTTGAAAATTATGGATCTTGCTCACAGGAGAAGCCTCCACATGAACACAAATTTTCTTCTCCAGGTGCATCATTTTGCACACGACTGAAGCAACGTTGGAAACGATTGGACTAAGTGCTCCCCTGTTCCTATGTTTAGGAAATCATGTATCAACTGAGAAGGGCTCGAGTTCATTCAACATCAAGTTGGCTCGCTAAAAGGAGAACACCACTTTTGTGAAACAGGTTCAGGACTGAGATGCATAAGTCACCAAAAGCCACACACAGGAAGACTAAAACAGAATTTCATTATCAGTTGAGATCCGAACATAATGTGATGCAATACTATGGGGTAAAAAAAAAAAAGATGCAGCTGTGATGACCTATTTTTCGTGGAAACCATAAATAGGTCATCACTAGCATAACGTAATTCCCAGACATTTAGATTACTACACCTGTGGGTTGTTGGGCTGACGTTTATTTTCCTCGGGACGCTGCAGGACTCAAATTTGTTGGCTAGTGTTACGTTGTTTCCAAATAGGCAATATCGCGGCATTTTAACACCCACGACGCCAGCAAAGACTGAGCCAGAATGCAAGCCTATACGCATCTAGAGTAAAACAAAGAAAAATTCCAGAGAATAAAAGCAATTAGACTTAGCAAAAACAAAACTGGAAATATCTCCAAAGCAATTAGTCAAAACAAGTCTGATTCATGCAGAGAGGTAAGTACAGTCCAGAAGGTTGTTGCATCACGTCAGTTTAAACAAGGCATGTGTGGTTTTTGTGATCAAACCCTGCTGAAACAGAGGGAATCCACAAACTGGTAGTATTTTGCAGAGTCTTATCAGAATCCTAGGAGCCCTCGGTGGTGCAGTGGGTTAAACCACTGAGCTGCTAAACTTTTTGACCGAAAGGTCGCAGGTTCGTATCTGGGGAGCGGCTTGAGCTCCCGCTATTTGCCCCAGCTTCTGCCAACCTAGCAGTTTGAAAACATGCAAATGTGAGTAGATCAATAGGTACCGTTACGGCACTCCATGCAGTCATGCCAGCCACATGACCGTGGAAATGTCTATGGACAACACTGGCTCTTCGGCTTAGAAATGGAGATGAGCACCAACCTCCAGAGTTGAACAGGACTGAACTTAATGTCAGGGGAAAACCTTTACCTTTACCTATCAGAATCCTAGCTTATTTAAGGCAGTATTTGACTCCCTGAGAGAGAGGGCAAATCTACACTGTAGAGTTAATGCAGTTTGACACTACTTTAACTGCCATGCCTCAATGCTATGGAATCCTCTCAAATGTTCTTGTCCTTCAACTCATATCAAGCATTGATTCCAATTTTCAGTTCTCTGATGCCACCATTAAAATTTAATAGTAAATACTGCAGACTATTTATCCTCCTTCCCCAACAAAATATTTTGCCACTTGCTGCCTGTTTCCAGGGAGAAAAATCAGCTATTTATATCAACCTCACACATGGCTTTCTCTTTACATGTTCACTGCCTATCTCTGCAGTTTCTGCATAAACAATGACATATTGGCGTAAATTTTGTAAAAGCATCAGATCCTAGGTGATCTTAGTAGTTAAGCAGGTATTAAACTGGTTAATACTTGGATAGGAGACTGCCAACAAATACCAGGTGCTATATTTCAGAGGAAGTAACTGGCAAAACCACCTCTAATTATCCTTTGCCTAATAAAACTCTTATGAAATTCATGGGTTGCCATATGTCGACAGATGACTTGAAGGCACATGCAACACACACACTGCATAATAAAAGATTATGCTCAAATCAAAAATCAGAACACAATTACTTTGGAAGTGTTCTAGAGAAATCCCATATGCTTCACTACAAAAGAGACTGTGATTTGAATAAAAGGTTTTGTACTGAAATGAAAGAAACCCATTCCAGAAACAGACATTATGCAGGCAATACCCAAAAATAGTGAAATTGGGATTTAGTTAAATAGATGGTCATGATAATGATGGATAATGGGGGAGAAATCCAAAAAGAAAGCAATACAATTTTGAAGTAGTTGATTCTTCAGGTTCATATATTCCACCAATTTAGTTTTTGTGTGTGCGTGTGAGGAGCAACTTGAGAAACTCTAAGTCGGTTCTGGTGTGAGAGAATAGGTCGTCAGCAAGGATGTTGCCCAGGGGACACCTGGACGTTTGGTGTTTTATCATCCTATGTGAAGCTTCTCTCATGTCCCCACATGGGAAGCTAGAGCTGAGACGGAAGCTCACCCCGCTCCCCGGATTCGAACCACCGACCTGTCAATCAGTCCTGCCGGCACAAGGATTTAACCCACTGCACCACCAGGTGCTCTGTTTTAGTGACTGATATGCAACAGACAGGGTCCTTGTAAGTTCAGTGTGGAAAGAAAGCAAGGAGACTATAAGATGAGCCCAGCATACCAGTAGGTGCTCTTCTGAATTTTATTAGCATTCACTTGATGATTCATATTCACAAGCTGCCTGAGCTGTAACATAAACCATATACACTTAATTGTTTCCATGAAAGCATTCATCTTTTCTTTAGAAGCCTGCATTTGGTTCATAATTCAGATCTGCTTGTAAAAACATTCCTGGCCCTCACTGAACACCCCCAGAGTTGCTGGGTAAAATGCTGTTGTGGAGGAATTCAGAAATGCCAGATTTTCTTTTCTGTCAGAGATGGACTTGATTATCCACCCTCAACTGTAACCTGTCATTTCTTCCCATCTGTGCAGTTCATCTTAGTTATATTAGGAAGATATCATTTAGCTTATGAAAATGCAGAGATAGCTTTAAAGCAGAAAAGCTCCTCTACTACTACTTTCTTGCTCAAATCATTACCTAATATGACTAATGTTTTGTAAAAATGTCTGTTAGATCACAGATTCACTATGTTACATCTATCTAGGCTCTAAGGCTGTGTTTCTCAACCTGGGGGTCGGGGGTCACGAGGGGGTGTCAGAGGAGTCACCAAACCCAGTATGACACAGTATTTTCCATTGGTCATGGGGGTTCTGTGTGGGAAGTCTGGCCCAATTCTATCATTGGTGGGGTTCAGAATGCTCTTTGATTGTAGGTGAACTATAAATCCCAGCAACTACAACTCCCAAATGTCAAATCTATTTTCCCCAAACTTGACTAGTGTTCACATTTGGGCATATTGAGTATCCGTGCCAAGTTTGGTCCAGATCCATCATTGCTAGAGTCCAAAGTACTCTCTGGATGTAAGTGAACGACAACTCCAAAACTCAAGGTCAATGCCAACCAAACCCTTCCAGTATTTTCTGTTGTTCATGGGAGTTCTGTGTGCCAAGTTTGGTTTGATTCCATCATTGGTGGAGTTCAGAATGCTCTTTGATTGTAGGTAAACTATAAATCCCAGCAACTACAACTCCCAAATAACAAAATCAGTTGTCCGTCTCTCCCAATCCCACCAGAATTCAAATTTAGGCATATTGGATATTTGTGCCAAATTTGGTCCAGTGAATAAAAATACATCCTGCATATCAGATATTTACATCCATAACAGTTGCAAAATAACAGTTATGAAGTAGCAACAAAATTATTTAATGGTTGGGGGTCACCACAACATGAGGAACTGTTTTAAGGGGTCTCGGCACTAGGAAGGTTGAGAACCACTGTTCTAAGGCTCTCAGGTAAAAAAATAGCAATTTCTTTATTCACAGTTTCTTATTTTGATGTTGGCCTTGTGTCTGTAACCACAGTAAATGTGGAGGGCTAACTCTATTTTCCACATAATGAAGCCACTGAAAAGCAGCAGTAGTTGGGTTTTTTTTAATGACATCTTGCTAACCTTAATGAGTTCTCCATGAGGAGACATGACTTCATTAGACAGCTCCATCATCTTCAAGGCCATCAGTGCAATCTGCATGGCGTGGGTCTCACTTTCTTTGTGCAAGCCTCCAGCCACACAGTATGCATCTCCAATGGTTTCGACCTAAAATAAAGTAAAATGTGAGTCTTCCAAAGTGAGTGAAATAACATTAAGAAACTTCAGGAGGCCTTTTAAAGGACTTTGACAACTCTCACTCCAATACCCAACCCATTCCCTTACTCAAGATACATATGAACTGAAGTGGAAGTATCATGTGCATTTGCAAGCTCTTAAAGAAGGTTACTCTGAGTCAAAAAGTTGCTTGTGGTGGATGTTCATTACTGCAATGGGAGAGTGCTGAAATATTTATCTTTTGTTCACCATTTATAAGATTCTAGGAATATTTCTTCAAGATGCATACTAGTGATAATGTCACTGTATGATTTGGAGACTGTAGTTCTAGGCATATAATATACTAAATTCCTTATTCCAGAGTCACACCATTATTTTCTAAATTATATCATAGGAGGGAAGGATATCAGAGGCAAAGATGAAGTACTTTGGCCATGTCATGAGAAGACAGGAAGCTGGGAAAAATGGAAGGAAGAAGAAAGAGGGGCCGACCAAGGGCAAGATGGATGGATGGCATCCTTGAAGTGACTGGCTTGACTCTGAAGGAGCTGGGGGTTATGACGGCTGACAGGGAGCTCTGGCATGGGCTGGTCCATGAGGTCACAAAGAGTCGGAAGTGACTGAACAAATAAACAACAAAATTTTGGCTGTAAACGCAATTCACTTCGCAAAATATTTAAGTTCTATCTTCTGATTTATCCTGCTTTCATCCTATTATAGTTTGTCTGGTTCCAAATACATTTCTTTCAGATTGCATTCATTTTGTTATGGACTAGCTTTCATTCCCAAAAAGCCCAAATTTTGGCAACAAATTCCCTACCTTGTAGACATCCAAGTCCCCACACTGATAATCAAAGCGGGTGTAGAGCTCATTAAGCATGGTGATGACCTGCATAGGTGAGCACTGGGAACAGATTGCAGTGAATCCGACAATGTCAGAAAAAAGCATGGTGACGTTATGAAATTTCTTGGCCTGTACAACCTGTCCCTGCCACAGCTGCTGTGCAACCTCTTCAGGAAAGATGGAGCACAACAGATCAACTGTCTTCTTCTTCTCCTCTTCAAGAGCTTGGTGTGCCTCCTCCAGAGTAGCTTTAAGCTTCCCGAGCCTTTTTTTCAGTCCATCTTGAGCTCTGGCTTGCTCTCCTATTAAAACGACATCCCTAAGAGCATTGTGAATGGGAATATCTGAAAGGTATAAGCCACGTCCTGTAAAATCTTCTAGTCTATCCACACAGGGAGAGCCCAAAAACAAGATGGCACTTGATTCAAACATGTAGATCATCTGTCCTTTAAGGTCCATAACCTGAAACAATGAGGGAAAGACACAGTGATGTGAGAATTCTGGAACTCTGGAAGTTTATTAAAGTCATTATATTCAACTTACTACCTTGTAGTACCAATTCTCATCGCATAATGTCCTGGCCTGGAGCCCTGGTCAATCTTCATCAATTCTCTCTACTACTACATCCTACCATCCTTTCCCCCTGTAAACCAGCTTTATCCAAGGAGATGTTGATTGATGGGTTTAAGAACCCAAAATGTGGGTTCTTAATATTCTGCCATGATATTCTGGGATATAGGGCTGTGTGGAAGGGCCCTATGTGGAAGGATCCTTAATGTTAATGGCCATTCCTACTGCTCAGGGAAACAGCTCTCCAAATATTTGTGATGTAAGCCAGCATTTGTGAAAAAAGAAACAGTTGTGCATTTGTTGGGACAGAAGCTTTATAATTCCTTGAAACAGAAGTAGCTTTGTGAGAGAAATTGAGGATGATTGAGATGAAATCCTAGAAGACAACTAGGGATACCCGACTCAGGACCACAGTGGTTTAAGAATTAGGGGAATTAACTCTGAAAAACAAATAAACAAACAAACATGATAAATGGATCTATTTTGACTGTGGGAATGGAATAAAATCTCTGCCCTTAGATATTCAAACAGTAGACAAAAAAGAAGTTTCTTGAACAATGAAAATTTTGACAAATATAATCCTGAACCTATGTGACATGAAAAATGTTTGAATTTTTGGGGAAAAATGGAATTTTCTCTGCAGAAAATAAATTCCTAGTAAGAGAATATTTTTTTTCTCCACAGAAAATGTTGTCTTCTGCCCCCCCCCCCCCCCCCCCCGAAATTCCATCTGTACTTTAAAAAAAAATGTTTCCAGCAGAACAAACCCCAAACAGCCAATAGGTCTTGCAAACTGACACATTTTTTGAAGACTTTCTCATAGCAAGGAGAAAGAACAAAACGTGCTAAGATTTACATTCCTAATCCATTTAAAATGGCTTGGGTGGCATTTGGAGGGAAAAAAATAGAAGATCTTGGAAAATACAAGCATCTTCACAAATTCTCCCCAATATAGCCCTCTTATGCTCTTGTATTAGCATTATAAAGAAAAGGGATGACAAAAGAATATTGACAGACCACATATTCACAATGAAAACAGAAAGGGTACAATTCTACTCTCAGATTCACATATGTAGCTTGCATCGAAAATCCTGCCCTAATATTTTATCAGCATGGTTCAGAGCAGAGTGAATTCAGAAGACTGAATACAGGTCTGGAGCTTTCGATTAGCAAAACCAAACGCAGAAGCAAGATTAGAGTGAAATCCTTTTATCTATATTCATCATTTAGCTTTAAGTAGTTTTTGTGGTAATCCAATACACATGGAACTTCAAAAGGAAAAAAAAAGATTCACTGACTAGATAGTGGAACTAGAAATAACACAAGAGCTGGAGAGCTTTTGTGAAGGGACATGTTTATCAATGAAATCTAGATGCTGTGGGAAGAGATCGATATCTTCTCCCAGATGTGCTAATTATCTGTGAACAGTTGAGATAGGGTTCAAACATTCACACATGCACTCCATTGCAGTCCTGTACAACACACCCCAGCTCAGTTTTAACAAGCAGTGAGTGTTCTGATTCAAGTAGGTCTTCCAGTGGGTTGCTGTGAGTTTTCCAGGCTGGATGGTCATGTTTCAGAAGCATTATCTCCCAATGTTTCACCCACAACTATGGCAGACATCCTCAGAGGTTGTGAGGTCTGTTGGAAACTAGGCAAGTGAGATTTATGTATTTGTGGGATATCCATGGTGGGAGAAAGAGCTTTTGTCTTTTTTGAGGCAAGTCTGAATGTTGCAATAGGCCACCTTGATTAGAACTCAATGGTCTTCCAGCTTCAAACCCCGGCCGTTTCCTGCCTGGGGGTATCCTTTTTTGGGAGGTATTAGCTGGCCTGGGGGAATTCCAACAAAGGATTCCCCCAGGCAGGAAGCAGCCAGGCTTTGAAGCTGCAAGGCCATTTAATGCTAATCAAGGTGGCCGTTTGCGATATTCACACCTGCCTCAGACAAGAGTTCTTTCTCCTACCTTGGACATTCCACAGATAGTGAGATAAACCTCACTTGCCCAGTTTACAACAGACCTCTGAGGATGCCTGACATAGATGTAGGTGAAACATCAGGAGAGAACAATGCTAATTAAGGTAGCCAATTGCAACATTCACACCTGTCTCAAACAGGCAAGAGTTCTTTCTCCCACCCTGGACATTCCACAGATATATAAACCTCACTTGCCCAGTTTCCAACAGACCTCACAACCTCTGAGGATGTCTGCCATAGATGTGGGTAAAATATCAGGAGAGAACGCTTCTGGAACATAGCCAGATAGCCCGGAAAACTCACAGCAACCCAGTGATTCTGGCCATGAAAACCTTTGACAACAAGTCTTCCAATATTATTGGAAGCATTAAGAAAACTGCACACAAGAACAACTCACAGTTGTGTTCTTTGGACTGTCACTGTAGGAACCGTTAAACTCTTAAATGAATGTAAACTTCACTATCTAACTGAGTTTTATTGCCAAAGTTCAATACACACATATGTATCCATCCACAGGCTGTTCTAATAAAATGTAAAGCTTCTACCATAGTCTTGTACTTGAATTAGAGCCAGATAAACAGACTGAACAAGACAGACAGCTAATGTAATCAGTTCTTACCCCTGTTGATTTTTTAAGAGCATTGTCCCCTCGTTTCACCCTTATGGTAAACTGCATGTTCAGCATCGTCATGATCCCGCTAAAGGTACAATTTATTTTAGGAGTCAAGATTTCGAACCATTCATCAAAGTTTGGCTTTGCTTGAAATTCTCTTCTGTTTAAGAGTCTCCTTATACCATTGCCAACTTGCAGAATAGCCATATCCTTGTCGAACATGCAATGAAATGGGAAAGTCTTGCAGAACATAGTAGCAGGGATCACAAGAGACGACTGAGGTTTGCATGGTGATAAAGAGGGTTTTGCACTTTTGACTTGGACAGAGTACAACAAATATGGCTGGTTAATAAACTCAGTGTTGTCCTTGCAGAAGCAGGGCGGCATGACAGTCACTTCCACCTCGGTCTCATACAGAATGCGAGCAGCTGCTTTAATGATGCCAGACAGGATGATACTAGTTGTTTTCTTGGGAAAGAAATAGTACACATTTAAAAAGTCTGGGTCCTTTTCCAGACATAGTATGGAAATCTCTTCAAGTCTACCCCTTTTTTCTGCTTCATGACAGTGAGTGCTCTGCTTCAGTAGAGTGCTGAAACTATTCAAAAAGTCTTTAAGAGTCCCTCCAACAACACCCAGGATGTGTTCGTCCTCTTCGTAACATATTTTGAAAAGTTCTTCACCAAGGGATTCCTTAATAATGTTCACAGGGACTCCTGCAAACAAAAAACATTTCTGTCACATGTATTCCTCCAATTACTTCTACCACATGCCTCTGATTTTCAAGGCTTTATCTCTCTTCTCTATTTATTTACTCATTTCTGTTTTCCATTATGACAAATGTTCATAATAATGTGGCTATTTGAGATCAACATCTGAGTGTCCCAGCTCTCACTGCCCTGAAACCTTGTATGGTAGGAACAAACAACTTGGTTACTTTGCCCAGCTATTTATACTGGGCCAAAATCTGGAGAACATTTGCTACAGATGACTTTGAACAAAAGCTCATCCAAAATGGTCAAAATGGGGTAGTGTTTGACTCCATTCAGAACTAACAGTCCAACTAAGCCAATGGTTCCCAACCTGTGGTCCGTGGACCACCAGTGGACTGAAAGAAGGAAAATATGGTCTGCAGCCTCCCTATTACTACAACCCAAGCAGCAACGAGAGTGACTGGTCTCACAAAACCCTCTTTTAAGGCTGAGGCAATGGGGATGTTAGGAGGAGAGAGGCTGACTATCCATGAAAGATTACTACATCAGCTTTAGATAGTTTTCTGTGGGCATGCAGATGGTGACTACTGGATTGCATATGTTTTGTATCAGAAACTAGAGCTGATGTGGTCTATCCAATGCAATTTTCTGAATCAGCACCCCAAATAAGCAAACCAAATCTAAAGTTGACCAAAAACTGATTCATAACCTTTTTGGTACTAATGTTGGAGAGTCGTCCCTGGTGAAAAAAAAGGCTGGGAACCACTGATAAGCAATAGAAATCTGAGATTTCTCCAACTGAATGCAACACATGTAGTATTCTTGGAAAGACCTTTACCACACAACAGAAAGTGTTTGAGATGTTTAGATATAGTAGTTGTAGTTGCTATTCATAGATATTCTATTGCATTACCTGCTATAGTTGCATGGTCTGTGATAAGCTTTTCAAAGTCTTCTCTTTCCCCAAAATTCCTATTAACAAGGCAAAAGAGAAGTTTAGACATTGCCAGATTATCAGTAAAAACAAATAAAACCTATAATTCAATGGAAATACTTATTTATTTTCCTCCTATGTGTTGTGATTTGTCTTTTTTATTTGTTTGTTTTGATTTAACCTTTTTTGGATTGTAAGTGGGATTGATATTATGTACATTGTTCCCTCTTGTTGTAAGCTGCCCCGAGTCTCCTTGGAGAGAAGGGGCAGGATATAAATAAAGCATTATTATTATTATTATTATTATTATTATTATTATTATTATTATTTATAGCACAAGATTTCCTGTATGTCCCATCATTGTGAGCAATCTACTATGGATGGGAGAGAACATTTTCTCAAGTTGAAGCAGAGGCCCAATTGGTGTCTATGCTTCTTTTCAGCTGATTTCTTCATACAAGCCCTTTAGATGATCCAGCAGCCAACCCCTGACTCTGATCTATGAAGTTGGATTTTCCGAGCCTAGAAAAAGGTTTTCAAGAATAAAATAGCTCACAGTTCTTCCATACTCAAAATCCATTCCTAGTTATTCTAAGCCAACTTTCCAGTCAGGGACCAATTTTCAGGCTGACCATGTGTTTTGTTCTGAGTGTAAAATACACATAGGTTAGATAAACAGAGACACGGATAGATAGAATTAATCAAAATTATCTGGAATTAGTTTAATATTATAGAATTCTGTAATATTAAAGAATGTTTTAATTTTAAAATAAACTGGGAAATTGGGAATTTGCAATTAACTTACTACAACAGAGCGTAGAAGTAGAAGCAGGACCAACAGCATCAGCAGCAATTGAAATGTTTATAAAAGCAAGGTTTTCACAGCAAATAAAACTTTCTATTGCAATCAAGATAACTGACTTTCATCAGGTGCTGCCAAGTTTTGGAAGCAATGTAGTGTTGGTGGAATTTTTTTTTTACTGGGTACTTGGGGACAACCAAAAGACAAGGTGCAGTCCATGGGATGCATTTTAGCAGCTGTAGCTGTATGCTTTCATTGTTTCAGCAATATAATTGGGCAGGTGCTGGTATTGTTGGACAAATGGGAGTAAGAAAGTTCATCCAATCCATTATAAATTATCAAAAAGTCCACTGGAAAAAATCATATTTATTTTCTATGTATCTCCGTGTTGCAAGAACTATGCAGTCATTATTATAAATTAATTTTAAGTTCACAGTTTAACAGTAAATAACTATTCTATCAACTAACTCTATGAAGAACAGAAATTAAAAAAATGCCATTGTCCACATATCACATTGCAAATATTTGGCTTTATAAATTACATATAGACATTAAATAACATGAAATTGGTGAGCTGAAATGGAAGGGTAAGTATTCTATGGCCCAGCTGTCAGCTAAATGTATTATCCTTATTACATTAATTTAATGTTTCAACCATGAGTAGCTTACCTGATTTCTTTTATATTATTATTTGCTAGCGTTCTCTGAAATGCAAGATATAGCCTTTCAAACTGAAATAAGAAAGACGACATTTAATTATTTAATTCGAGTCGCATATAATACCTTAATAGTGATATTAGCACCAAAAAGTATGAATTTAATATTCTTAGAAACAGATGCAAAGGGCAGAAATGATTTGAAGATCATTCACTTGAACCCCCACACCCCAATTCAGTGAATGAAGGTCATTTGTCTTGGCATTGGCTCAATCACAATAGATGACACACACAAGACCATAAAGCAAATTGAATTTTTCCATGTGAAAGTCTCAAAATAGAAAGAGAATATTGCAACAATTATTGAAATAATATTAAAAGCATTATGTTACTGCCTTATTCAAAATTAAAGGCCCTTATTCAAAATTAAAAATATACAATTTCCTAGTCTCTTTTTGTACCTTAAGGAATTCATAATTAAGTCTGAGGAAGTTGTATTTTACTAGAGTTTAGCCATAAGTCAGAACTAAGTATGCTGTTTCATCAGCTGACAATCCTCCACATTTTCTTAAGGTTACTTACAAAGAACTTTGGGACAATTCTTTCCTATGGCATCTGTATGGTGTGCAAAAATCAAATAATGCAAGGGGCTTTGTCTCCCATCCACTCAAGTGTGAACAACATGCTACCATCAGACCACTGTGTGGCTTCCTACTTGCTATTTCTGGGTCCTGGGCCTCCTGAAAGTGTCAGGAAAAGAAGTATTCTTATCCAAAGAAGGAGAAACACACTCGTAGGAAATTTAACTGTCAGAGGTTGTGTGGCTATTGAGGTTTTCATGGTTAAAATAGCAATTTTAAAACTGCATTCTCAGTATAGGTGTAGTCAATGGAATGGCTGATGCCCTTTCACACTACTTAGCTATAGCACTATGATTCCACTTTAATTGCCATGAGAACACCCTATGGAATCTGTGGATTTTGATAAAGCACTAAAGTTTTTGGCCTGAGAATTTTAAATACTTCTCCCCAAACTTCAAATTTCACAATTCTATAGGATTGGATCATGGCAATGAAACAGAAAGCATCGCACTATACCAGGTATGGGTAAACCCAGGACTGGGGGCCAGATGCAGCCCTTTGGGCTCTTTTCTCAGGCCCTCCTCTCTCTCACCACCTTATCCTTCCTTCATTCCTATCCTTTTTTCCCCTCCTTCCCTCCCTCTTTCTCCTTCCCTTCCATCCTTTCATCCTTCCTTCCTACCTTTCTCCTTCCCTCCCTCCCTTCCCTCTTTCTTCCTCCCTCCTTCCTTCCCTTCCATCCTTCCCTCTCTCCCTCTTTCTCCTTTCTTCCCTTTTATCTTTCCTTCATTTTCTCTTTCTTCCTCCCTCCAGTCCATTCCACTCTTCCTTCCCTCCCTCTCTCCCTCCCTCCCTACCTCCCTCCCTCCCGTCTTTCCTTCCCTCTTTCCTCCCTCCTTCCTTCTCTTCCTCTTTCTCCTTCCATCCTTCCCTCCAACCTTTCGTCCTTTCTTCTTTCTCTCCTTCCTCTGAAAAAGTGACCAACAAAAATAAAGCACTATTTTTTTAAACCAGAAAAAACACTTATATAGAAATCCTAGGTCCTCCGGTGTGGCTCTGTGGTCAATTTCTACAATGTGCTCACCAGAGAATTGCACTGGAGGATCTACACATGTTATCTCAAGGAATCTCTAGGTCCTCCAGAACAACTCAATGGTGAACTTCAGATAAAAGTTAATCATGAGAGTCACATTGGAGGACCTAAAGATTCCCAAAGAAACACATTAATCAAACCTGCAAATAATCACATTTGCAAATGTTAACCTGAAAATGTGGAGGGCTGACTATAATTGTATAGTGTGAAAGGGTTCTATGTATGGGCAGTATTTTTTCTCTAGATCCTCCCAAACTTCTCATAGATCGTTCATTTGCCTTTGGAATACAAAGCTAGAGTATTCCCAATAGAAGGCTATTTACTCCTAAGTAACAATGCCAACATTCTTCAACATCTAACATGAAAACTATAGATGCTTTTATTTTTTGAAAAAGCTTTATCAAGCTTGGATGTTTATGCATTGTTTTAGCATTCCAGGTCAATTTTATTGCATGATAAATATATTGTTAGACAGTTGTGTGATAGACTGAATGAAGACAGAATGGAAGATTATGCTGCCTCAAGAAAAGCTGTATTCTTGTGCAAGATGTGTTTTACATTTGACATGAAACAAAACACCGAGCAAATGTTCTACCTTATTAAAACAAGATGTAATTAATGTTTATATCTAACCAGAAACAATACGTGAAAGACTTTCCAGCTCCTAATACAATTCTACAGTTTCCCTCTTTTTTTTCAAAACCCAAATGAATAAATGTGAAAACAAAAACTCACATGCATTCACCAGTATCTTTAATTTCATCAAAAACTATTTTGGGCCACCCTGCTCTGTCCCCATGATCCTTACTCTTGCTGACGTCAATGGAAGCAGCGTGCATTGATCCAAGACACGATAGTGACCATTTCTGTTATGGAGTTTTCCATGTGGAAAATGGGCAACATAAGCTCATTCTGCCAATTCGCCAGTGGAAAGAGATGTTAACTTAAGACCATTTAAGGATATGGGTGCAATTAGGTGCCAGTTTTTCCACAAAAATTAAGTTCCCTTGAGAAACTTTGGATCTATACAAGTAACATTCCAACCTTTTATCTGCTGGTATAACTTGCAAACCATGGAGAAAAATATACAGGTGTATCTGAACCTCTATATGGTTTAGCACCATATAACAGTTTTGAAACATTACACCAAATTTCATCATTTTATACGTAGACATAAGAAGATGCTTGTTGCAATCTGTTTTAATTTAATGTTACTTCTCATATACCATATATTTAGCATTTTCTCATTAGCCTGATTCAATATTAGAATATTACTTGTCTCAGAGAATTGCTGTGAGTTTTCCGGGCTGTATGGCCATGTTCAGGATGCATTCCCCCCTGACATTTTGCCTACATCTATGGCAGGCAGCCTCAGAGGTTGAGAGGTCTGTTGGAAACTAGGCAAGTGAGGTTTATATATCTGTGGAATGTCCAAGGTGGGAGAAAGAACTCTTGTCTGTTTGAGACAAGTGTGAATGTTGCAGTTGGCCACCTTGATTAGCACCGAATAGCTTTGCAGCTTCAAAACCTGGCTGCTTCCTGCCTGGAGGAATCCTTTGTGAGGAGGTGTTAGCTGGCCCAGGTAATTTCCTGTCTGGAATTGCCCTGCTTTCTGAATGTTGTCCTTTATTTACTGTCCCGATTTTAGAATTTTTAAATACTGCTAGCCAGATTTTGTTCATTTTCATGGTTTCCTCCTTTCTGTTGCAATTGTCCACATGCTTGTGGATTTCAATGGCTCCTCTGTGTAGTCTGACATGGTAGTTGTTAGAGAAGTCCAACATTTCTGTGTTCTCAAATAATATGCTGTATTCAGGTTGGTTCATCAAATGCTCTGCTACTGCCTCAAATAGACAAATGTTCTTTCTCCCATCCCGGATATTCCACAGATATATAAACCCCACTTGCCCATGTTCCAAATGACCTCACAGCCTCTGAGGATGCCTGCCATAGATGTGGGCGAAATGTCAGAAGATTCTGGAACATGGCCATACAGCCCGGAAAACTCACAGCAACCCAGAGATTCTGGCCATGCAAGCGTTTGACTACTCATAATGGAATGCTTTATTACCTACTATCTGGATCACAAGTCGGACATTTCCCAAGTGTCTAGCACTATGTGATGTGTCAGCGAATAACGCATGCAAATGGCCTTTTGAAGCTGACAGATGGTAATTTTGTCAGCTATTATTATTATTATTATTATTATTATTGCTTTTTAAACAGTTTCATACTATCTTAACCATTTTAAATTATTATTTTATAAAATGTGTAGAGAATTTTGGTCCTCCAGACATCTTTGCAGGGGTGAAGGGAATTTGTTAAAAGATGCCCATGCTTCCTCCCATCACCATTTAAAAGAGTCTTTCTTAAAATCATCTGAATGACATTATAAAAAATATTATTTTTTTAAAAAAATTACCTCTGGGGAGATGAGTTTGCAGATGCTCTCAGCTAAAGTGTGCAGATACACTCTGCTCCTGCTGGTTTTCCTTTGTGGATGGTCTCCTTGAGTGTCCTTCTCTTTGCAAACTGGCAAAGAAGTCTTTGAGCTATCTGGTACTTCAACACATTCCTCCTCATTTTCACCAGAAATGCCACTTGGGGTCAGTAAGGAGAAAGGACACTCGCCAGTGATTTTCAGGTCTTTCAGTTTAGTACAGAACATACTGCACAAATTCTTTTTTTCATCAAAACTGTCTTTATTTTTTACTTAACATGTCTGCTCTATTGACTGATGACAAAAATCAGCTAAAGCCAAGTTCTTCTGCCAAATGATTGGTAACCAAGTACAGGGCTCCTTGAGGCTTTATATACCTGCAAAAGAAGAAGAAAGAGAAAGTTGAAGAAAACCAGAAGGTACATCTGCTAACTTCTTAATAACAACCCTATTTAAGTCAGCAATCTTTGGTCCTCTACAGAACAACATCATAGCTAATGTTCAATGACTATATTCAGACTCTCACTAAACCAGAGCTTTTCATGATGAAATCAACCTGCAACAAGCTTCAAGCTCCCTCCTATATTCTTATCACCTGATATGGCCATGAGAAAAATAAAAGTTTGAGATTCCACTTTCAATCAATCACAGTTTTATATTAGATGCAACTCCAGAGATGTGGTTAATGCAAACTGGGGTTTTATCTATATCTCACCCCTTGTTTAAAAAACATAGTTAAGTCTAACCACAGTTTATCAGGTTTATGTAATTAAACTACAGATAAATTCTAAAAATTCCTCATTTTGTTTATGGGAGAGGAGAAAGTAATCACAGCCTAACCACAGATTATTTTGTCATTACAGTAAACTGAGTTGGGGAAAGTGCAGGCCTTAAACAACATGTGGGGGGCATTCTCCCTTTGGTGATGCCTCAAGACCATAAGTCATTGATGCCACTTCTGAACCCATATATCCCAACATCACTACTTTCCTGAGCAGAAAACTGCCCCTAAACAGCTTCAACTTTAACAGCAGAACACTTTAAAACTATGGTTTGCAAACTTTTTTTCATCAGGGACCACTTTGATCAGGGCCTACTAGGCCAGGGACCACCTTGACCAGGACCTACTTGACCAGGGACCACTAGAACAGGGACCGCTTTGACCAGGGACTGCTCAAACAGGGACCACTTGAACAAGGACCACTTTGACCAGGAACTACTCTCCAACAGTAGTACCAAAAGTGGTGGGGCTGGTCAGCTCTGAGGAAAGGAGTGGAAATAAAATAGTATACAATAAAATAAATAAAGAGGAAAGAGGTTTGCGGACCAGATTTTAGTTCTCGCAGCCCACTGCTGAGCCACAGCCCACAGGTTCGGAACCACTGCTTTAAAACATTATAAAAACATGACATGTTAATTAGATTACCCCCCCCCCCACCCAGTAGATCCCAAAAAACACAGGAAGACCAAAATTTGGCAGAAAACAAAAACAGATCACTTTTGTGTTAATGGGAAAACACTGGTGTGTCTTGCTAAGGGGAGATGGGGGAGCAGATTGCCCACAATCTTCTGGCATAGCTGCCCATTAAGGCACTAAATTATGATACATTATGACATCTGACTTTTCCCAATGACTTTGAAGATTACATCATACAGCACAGATTTTGGATCCAGGAAGGAGCTGTAGAAGTGATTTCTGAACTATGCACAAGAAGACTTTCCTTGGAATTACAAACAGCTCAGCTTTGAGCTGATTAAGGCTATTTCATATGTGATGGTGAAAAACATGCATACACTTCAATTGGCATTTTAGGTCAGAAGGTGCGTGAGAGCCAGACAGAAGGAATTATATGCTTAATAAGGTTGATCTGCTAGCATTAGTTTTGCAGCCCTTGCCTTTTCACTGGTAAAACAAATTTAAAGAAGTATTGCAGCCATGCTATATCATTCTGGATTATATCATTGTATGTGGAAACATTTATCTGACTCTAAAAGTAAATTTCCCCAATGTTAGCTAGAGAACTCAGAGCTGTTAACCTCTCTACCCCAATTCAATAATACAACATATATTTGTTTTTCGTAAAGTGTTTTTAAGACTGGCAATATGTCTGGCAGATGGAATCCTCTTGGTGACTGTGTCAGCTTCCATGATGATCACTGCTAGAGGAAGAAAGGGCTGGCAGAATCAACTCTGCTAGCACATCAACCAGCAGTAAAACCAGCACTAATAGTTTGTTGTTGTGTGTTTACAAGCCATTTCCAATGAACAGCAACTCTTAGATGAACCTATCTCATATTTTCTTTGTGGGGGTGCTTTGAATCCCTCTGTGGCTGAGAGACTATGTCTTGTCCAAGGTCACCTAGTGTGTTTTTGTGGCAGAGTGAGGATTCAAACCCTGATTTCTAGAGTCATGCTCCAATGCTTAGCCCAGCGCACCACATTGGCTCTCAGCACAAGTCGAACCAAATAGTGAGATAATATTTATTATATGTAAAGGAAGATATTTTGTTTTCTATCATGCAAGATCTGTCTACTCCTAAGTGATTTTGGAAAACCTTCAAACCAGAAACAAAACAACCCATTGTTTTCACCAAAGTATCTAAAGTTTAGAATTCCAAATGATATGAAATAATGTACACAAGTGAACTCCATTTTTTTCTTTTTTTAAAGTACAAAGTTAATTCTAGAAACTAACATATGATATAATATCAAGGATAATATTAACCTAGTGGGTGGGAGGATATGACCTATCACTGACTGTTGGACTGCAACCATTATTCTTTCTTGTAGGCTACTGCTGGCTAAGACTGATGGGAACGTATGACGCCCCTATTAAAGCAGCCCCACCGGCTGCCAATAAGTTTCCAGTCTCAATTCAAGGTGCAGGTTATGACCTACAAAGCTCTAAACGGTACAGGCCCTGCTTATCTTCAGGATTGCATCTCCCCCTATAAACCAGCGCAGGCTCTAAGATCTACCAGGGAACCTCTCCTCTCACTTCCACCACTGTCACAAGCACGGTTGGTGGTGATGAGGTGGCAACGAGGGAGAGGGCCTTCTCAGTGGTGGGTCTTTGGAACACCCTCCCCAGGAAGCATGGCTACTTTGCTCATTGATAAGTTGCAGTGATATATTTTAAATGGATAAAACTGGAATTATTTCAATGATAACTTCACATGTTTCTTTTCATCACAAAATCCATCTCAAGATTTTTTTCATTCAATTTTCCTTGTTCCTCAGCTTTTCCAAGTGGTTTCAGATGTTCATGGATTTGTGAAAACAGCAAAGCAAAAACACATGGCCACTGATGAGTGTGTTATCAGATTTTTTTTAAAGTGGGCTATATCTTAGAGATAAATGGTTTGAGAGTGAGCAGTGTTTATTTGTTTGCTTGTTTGTTTAGTAAAGAGGCCAGTGCAATTATTCAGTTGTATCATTATAATGCCATACAACCACTCTGGTTATGGCATTTAAAAAAGCAAAAGCACAGCCAATCAGCTTGGCAAAAAATCTATTTATACAGAGAAAACATCTATAAACAAACAGATTCACACCAGAAGCTTAACAGTAAACACAAACTGAGACATACTGAGATTATACAAACAGCTTCACTAAACCTTATGGAGTATGTTCCATATTTCTGTATGATCTTATTATGGATGTTAGGTTGGAAAAGAAGATGGAACACAACTCATACATGAGTTAAATCAAAATCAGCATTCAACAAACTCAAGAACAATATTCAATACACCTATATGCATTTTTACTGAATTATTCTGTTATTTTCATTCAACACTCCACATTAGCCTCAGCTTGTAACTAACTACACTAAGAAATTAAAACAAATATGAACACAGAGAAATGTAGCAAACATGACAAAATGCAGTGTAAACAGAATCATAGAAATGTTAAACTATTTTTGTCCAGTCCTCTCTACCAGGTTACAATCTTTTGTACTGAATGCAGCAGAAATATTAGTTCATCTTGACAGATTTTAGCTTGCCACAAGGGAAGAGTCAAAACAAACAAGGTGAAAATGAAACAGCATTTCTCATGCAAGTCATAAGTGGGCAACTATGGCCTTCAGATATGATTGTCAAAAATGTTAAGAGTATTTAGAGTTGCTCACACCTGACATAAAAATAGTTTCTCCTAAAGAGAACTGAATCTCTGTTGACCATGCTACATCACTAGTGTGAGGGGAAAAGGGACAGTCAACAAATATACATTTACATTATTCATATATTACAGAAATGAGCCTACTCTGGGGAAAAATATGCTCGTTGGCACACGGTGATTACTACCACAAAAAAGTTCTTAAGGGTTATTTTAGTTGCCAAGTAACTGCGAGTTATTCCTGGAACAATGAAGCAGAATCAAACCAGTTGAATCTATCTGGGCAACAAGTATTACATAAACAGTCCTGAGGCCAGTTAAATTCATTACTAAAATCCAAAGCCTGCAGTAACTTTTCCAAGCTCTGTTAAAGTGGGTACAAGATCTGCAACATCTACAGCCGGCATTTGCAGATGTTACAAGCCACGATGTATTGTTTTAACTAGATATGGTTGGTATTACAAATAAAATAGATCACGAAGTAAAACACAGGATATCCATTGCTAAAAATCCCTTAGTTATACCTGTCGCCATAAATACTAAGATATTTGGATCTCTTCCCATATTTTACATGTTTATTTTCACAACCTGAATAACTTTGCAGCCAAAATCAGCAAAAGCAGAAACAGTGAAGTAGCATACAAAAATGGCAGAAATACAAAATTAATTAACTGCATATACCTATACATATAAGTCTTCTGAACAATGCCAGAGCCAAACATATAGCTTTAATTCCTTTGTATTCATAATATATTTGAAAGACAACTATATACGATCTGAACTGATGGGAATTTGCATGGAATCATAGTATCGTTGAGTTGGAAGTGACCCCAAGGGCCATCTGATCCAACTCCCTAACAGTGCAAGAACCCAAAATAATGTATTACTGCCTAAACCTTTGATCACTGAGCTCAACAAAGCAAAGTCCACCTCAGCTCAAGGCAGACTAGTCTAGGGTTGAAATGTTCTCTGTTGAAGGATCAAAATTTCTTCATTCTTTAGTGAAGTGGTTCTCAATCTTTAATGTCATGGCTCCTTAATACAGTTCCTCATATTGTGGTGATCCCCAACCATAAAATGATTTCTGTTGCTACTTCATAGCTCTAATTTTGCTACTGTTATGAATCATAATGTAAATATTTGATATGCAGGATGTGTGTTCATTCACTGGACCAAATTTGGTACAAATACCAGATATGCCCAAACTTGAATACTAGTGGGGTGGGGGGGTTGATTTTGTCATTTGGGGGTTGTAGTTGC